GTAATACTGAATCTTTTTCTATAATATTATTGATAGAGCTACTAGTAATAGTGGTATTTGAAGTTGAGGTTGTAAAGTAATTTTCACTGTCATTTGTACTAGTAAAAATTAAACTTCCAGAACTTGATTCTAATGTATTATCAACGATTGATGATTGCAATGAGTTAATGGTGATATTATTTTTATTCTTACCAAATGATGGTATGGTTGTTGAATGTTGTTGAATGTCTCTTACATTTGCTAAATTTCGTATACCAGCATTATTTCTTTTATTAATGTTAACACTATTGATATTATTATTATTATTATTAATGTTATTCACCTCTTCTTCAAGAAGAGGTGAAATGTTGTTGTATGGATTAGTCATAAAGAGGAAAAATTAATTATATCGTATGTAGAGAAGAATTATTATATAAACAAATAAAAAAAAATTTTTATATAATTAAATAAGTTTTTTGTGGTAACAATAATAAACAAAAAAAAATAATTGTCTCTTTTTTTAAACTATTTTTTTTAATGTAATCAAGCTCAATATAGTAGTGGTTACACCAAACTAAAGTAATTATGACGTCACGAGGTATTATTTTATTTCGAAAGCGTCCAAATATCAATTGATCATTTGACATGGATTATTATTCTCAGTATTGGTATTTGTTGATTATAAAAGGTAAGAGAATGAAAGTGAAGGCAAAAGTGTATTGTTGGAATTGTTTGTTTTTTTTGTTAAAGGAATTCGAGTAAAATTTTTTTCTCAGGTGTTTCTGGGTATATAATTATCCTAAAATACAGGGACATACATAATACACTAGTCATTTTTTTTTTTTTTAAAAAAAATAAGTATATAATAAGTCCAAAAAAGTAATTATTTTAAATTATTTTATTTACAAATCAAATTTTTTTTTTAAAAAAGTCTCATGAAAATAATGCAATTTTACTATTACGTAAATATAGAGAGGCGGATTGAACGATGATGGATGACATAACAGAATTGTTTTAACGCCATGTGGGTGTGATTTTTAAGTTTGGGTAATTAAAAATTAATTAAAAATCCTATTAACTTCTTCATTGAACCTCTATAAGCACAAGTCCTACATAGACAGCTTACAACGAGGTGTTTCGGGTATAAGCCCCACGTCGCGAACCACTCTTGTTGTATTTCCGTAAATAGTAGTTAGTATACTTTAAAAGTATATTAAAGGCTCCATTTACATCTCTATCAATTGTGGAATTGCAAAATGTACATTTATAGGTCCTAGATTTTGTTTGATGATTCCACAACATCCACACTCACTTACTTGCAGGATTTATGGAGAAAATATTGACGAAAATGGTAATGTGCCACCAGTTCAACATTTGTCTCGCAGTTTTTGGATTGGGTTTTTCTAAAACTTTCATTTTGCAAATTTTCGATAACATTAAACCACAAGATTATGAATTTTCTTGCATGCATCAATGGAGCTTACATCTTTTGCGCTCATTTGTTTTTACCACGAATAGAATAGAATTTCCTTCATCTGTACTCTATCATAAGTGATCTGATCTACTTTTTTGTTTTCCCATTTATAACCTTCACCATTTTGGGTTATATTCAGTCATGAGGGTCCCCACTCCTAGATCAAAAGAAATGATGCCAGCAGCCACCGAAAATTTAGGGCCTTAGTTATCAGCCTTAATTTCAATTGGCTCAAGTAGAATTCACCAAGATGATTTATGGTGAGGCGACAGTCATATTTTATTTCAGGTATTTTCTCAGTTGATTTAATGCCTTTTGAAGAATGAATAATCACCTTTTTATTCTTCACCAATCTATTGATCCAACGACAATTGGCTGTAATTGGTCTTTTTTAGATTAGGTTTTAATTTAAAAATTCATTTTTTTGCTGTAATACTTGAATTATAATCATTCAATAGGATCATCATCGTTGATGTTTCTCTAATGAGTATCAAGAACTCATTTGAGATCAAGGTCTTTAATTGATATAATTTTCACACAAGTATTGGAATTTTTTTTATTTTGGTTTTTAGAAGATGATGAAGTTGAAGAAGCCACATTCTCATTTTTAGATGATGATGATAATGAAGCTGTAGAACTCTTGCATACGCCGTCTGGTAAAAGAGGGATACGATTTAATCCTAAGGTATTTATTGGTTTAATTGGATCAACTGTAACCCATGCATGAACCCCAAGAGTTAGTCTTTTTAAAAGACATCCCGTTGACTTTGGCACAGTGATTAGTCAACATCAGTTTGCAAGTTTTCATCCCAGAATGAAAGCTAAATCTTTTTACATTTGAAGGAGAGTTGGTTGTGATGATGAGTCACAATCAACTGGGGAAGAAAGATCACTTAAAATTCTTTTAATTAATTAATCAAATTAATAATTTTTTAAAAAATTTTGTTATTAAAAATGATTTGAGTTTGGTAAAAGATTTACATTGTCAATTACTACAACTATCACCACTCTTCAATCTCTTTCTGCTCGTTACAATAACGACTATATATAAAAATTATAAAATTCAAAACATAATTCAAAATAAAATAATGAATGACGATGATAATACTAATAAAATTTAAACTGTTTTTTGTTAGAAATTTAAAAAAATAGCCGTGAGATTTATCCGCCTGTGACGTATTGCGGCATAATAATAATGGGTTTTTTTAATTCGGAAAAATATAAATTGAATTTTATTTACTGCGTAAGATTTATCTATCTGGTATTTGGTATCTTTATTTATAAATCACAAAGTATAAACAACAAACAATTCAGCGCCATTATATAATATTATATAAATAATAATATAAATAATTTGTTTATAATAAAAAATGATAATTTTTTTTTCTTTAAAAAAATACCAAAATTAAAAAAAAAATGGGGCTTGCTTGTAAAGTGTTTGTGGTGATAATTTCTGTTCTTGTATTTATAGCTGTAGCTCTTAGTTTTTTAAATGTTGAATTAAATATTCCAAAACAAACTTTTAACCGTTTAACCGGTTATCCAGTTTGGCATCCAGTAATTGATGGTAATTAATTATTTAATCTGATTTATATATATAATTTCTTTTATAATTTACAATTTTCTTTGAAATTTAGGATATGATCAGAGCCAACTTGATGCATTAAGTGTATTTGTCGAGGTGGTGATGGCAATCGGTGCATATATTGGATATCATACAATTAAAAATAAGCCGAAATCCAATAAATATTCGACAATATTTTATGAATACAATGATGGACACAGCAAACGTAAAAGACATAGAAATGACGAGTTATATTATTTGATAGTGATTTACATTATAACAACTATTGTTTCAGGCTTTACTTATGCGATATTTGATATTGGTAAATTATTTGGAATGGTTGCAGTAAATCACAATATATTAGAATATGTGTTGATAGTTTGGATACTATCAGGAGGAAAAATCAACTATTCAAAATGGTATGCATTTTTCTTTATACATCTTTTGATCGTTGGTGCACTTACTATATTCTTAAAATGGCCTTATGATGCTATTGCCTTTAGAATTCAAGGTATGATTTGTGGCTTGGGCTTGGTGTTTGAAATTCCTACTTTTCCATTTAACCCATATAAATTATATAATTTTATAGGCTTGACACTTGATATATTATTATTTATTGAACTTACAAGAACATATTTTACAACACTTCATAATTTAAAACAAAAAAATCGTATTGCATTGGTTGACGATGGTAATTATGAAGATGAAGAACGACAAAATCTTGAAAATCATAGTGATGATGACGATGATGATGATGAGGATGAATATGATGAATATTCAAATTGGTTCAATGAGGTAAAATATTTTTTAAAAATGCAAATAATCTAGAAAAAAATATTTATTTTCCTTTTCTATGGCATAAAAAAAATTTCATCAGGTTGGTAATTCATTATTGCAAAGAAGTCAACTATTCGAAAGTTTGGCAATTGCAACTTCAAAAATGACATTTATAAAAGTTGAACCTGAAAGCGATGATGAAATTACAACTCCTGCTACCCATGGCCATTTTTTAAGAAAAAGGTATGTCTCGCAAAAAATAAATATTTGTAGTTATTTATTTATTCTGTGAACTAATTTATTTATTATTATTTTTTTCTAAACATAACTACTTGAAAAGAACCAAGCGTATCAGTTATCCAAAGGATTATCCAAGTAATAGTACTGGTAATAGACGTTCAAAAGCACGTAAATTGAGACAAAAAAATAAACATCGTCAAACGTTACAACAATCTGTTAATGAAAATGATGCAGATGATGATGAAAGTATAAATAATATTGATGAATTGTCCCAATACGAAGATAATGTTGATAATGTAACTGATAATAATGATGACGGTGATAATATTGATAATGATGGTAATGATTATGACAATAATAATCAACAACAGGAAACTGCAGATGCTCAACTTGTTAGGCACGATCTACGTTCTCGGAAAGTATTAGATAAACAATCGAATAAACAAATATCGGTTCCCAGAACTCCACCTAGAAAATCTACTAATAAAAAGTTACCACAAAAATCACCCGCCATTTCAAAACAAACCAATCCAAGAGCACCAACTACACCAGTTACTAAAACAAAACCTAGCCCAAAAACTCCAAAACCAAACCCCCAAAAAAATAAACGTAAAAATAATGAGGATCGAGAATGGCGTCCTGATAGTGAGTCAGATCCTGAAAATTTGTCTGATCAAGGGTCTACTGCTGGCCCTAAATCTACTCTTAAGACTCAAACAAGAACCACATCGACTACTACTTCAAAATCCGTTACTGCTAAACAATCAACCCCTTCAGTAAATCTAAGACCTTCAAACCCAATAAGAACTCCACGTAATAATAATTCTGCCACTACCACTACCACTTCTAGTAAAACTAGAAAATCTTCATTACCATCTAAGGGAACTCAAAAAGCTAATCAATTATCAAAAGATAATGGAGGTACAAAGAGGGGGACTCGCGTAAAAAGAAAAGAAATTGTCAATAAAGAGTTGTCTGGGGTTGATAATAATGATATAGAAAAAATTGAAATTGAACAACAATTTTCTATTACTAGTTATACTAATACCATGGAATTAGTTGATGCCGAAGCTTATGATTCACCAGAAGCATCACTTCCAAAATCACCTACCACTACCAGAAAAACTAGTACATCAAGCCCAGAACGTCTTATTAAATCTAGAAGAAGATCAACTGTTGTTATCAGTCCCCCAAAACGCCGAAACAAACCTATTAATAAGACTAAGAATAATAATGATACAAGCATTTTTGAACAAAATATTGTTACTACTGCACAAGATGAGCTAGACAATAATGAATTCGAAGAAGAAAAGGAGACAATACCAGTCGAATCACCACAAGATAATGTCACTCCAAAAAAATCAAGAATGGCTGCTACTAAGAAAAGTGTTGTTAGTACTAGAAGTAGTCTTAGAAATAGAAGTAATCTTAGAAATAGAGATAGTAGTACTAAAATCACAACTGTTGCTACCACCACTGTTAGAGGCAGTAATAAAGGTGTTCGTAGTAGACGAGGTGGTAAAACCAAAAGTAATATTAATACTACTACTGAGGTTGCTGTTATACCAAATAAAGAAACTCAAATCGAGCAAACGACATCATCACCATCACAATCTGATTATGATGATTATGATGTTGTAAAAATTTCAGCAGAAAATCCAAATGCATTAACAAATGTTATTAAAAGTGTTCGTCGTGGACGAGGTGGTAAAACCAAAGGTAATATTGATAGTACTACTGAGGTTGCCGTTATACCAAATAACGAAACTCAAATCGAGCAAACTACACCATCATCATCACAATCTGACTACGATGATCCCGATGTTGTAAAAATTTCAGCAGAGAACCCAGATGCATTAGCAGGCGCTATTCGTGCCTTAACTTTTCAAAATTATGATATTGTGCACACTTCAGCAAACATTATACCAATAATTCAACCACAAACCACCTCTATTCCACGATCTATACGTGTAAAACCATCGCCATCATCGTCGTTGTCGTCATCGCCGCCATCCACTATAAAATCGAATAGACCTAAAACTTCACCATCACCAAATGTAAACTCTTCGGCATGGGATGATAATCATTGGCAAATTTTGAAATATACTTACTTAGAAATTAGAAATAATTATATTGAAAAGGGTAAAAGTGGAATCCATAATGAAGATGTATATAAGGAAGTTATCAAAAGTTTTCTAAATATTAGACCTCAATTTGAGGAGTATGTAATCTTTTCCTAAAATAAGTAATAATTAATTAGTTAGTTAAAATAAAATCCTAAATTTTTTTCTTTTTAATTAAATCTAGATCTGAAATTCGAGTACGAATGATAGCGTTAGAAACTGTAGAAATTGAAAAACAAGGAAAAAGAAATACTGAAAGAAGAGGAAGTATAGAAAGTAGTAGCTCGAAAAATAGTAGATTTAGTGCAACTCGATATAATTCCGCATATTCAAATATGCGTAACACGCACAACAATCCACGTAAACGTAAAAAAATTGTTAAAGCCGATCTAACTGAAGATGATGTAAGTTACGTTTATAAACCATTATTCTATTTTTTTTTTTTTTTTATTTAAAATAAATAATCGATAATCATATACTTTTTCAAAAAAGGATTTGGATGATAATAGTGAAGTTATGGCTGAAGGCAGTAAACGTCGACGTGGATTGGATTCGGATTCTATTTCCGATGTTAATACAACAGGACAAAATACTCCACCTAGGGCTAAATTTTCAAGTTTATTTGGATGGTTCGGAAAACGGACTACTGATAATGCTTCACAAATATCTGCTTCTGATATTGCTGCTGAACAAAATGAAAAAGTTATAGATGACAATGAAGAAGTATATGATAACAATATTGAGGATAATGATAATGATAATTATGCAAGAGAGTATGAACAGTCTTCAAAATCACTTCTAAGTTGGTTACGGCTTAATTAAGATTATTTTTCTTCTAATTATCATCGTTGATGTAAATATATATAACTTTACAATTCTGGTTTTGGCTAATTTAATTCTTATTTTTGGATTGGTTTAATTTATAAAATCCCAATTTTGCATTTATATATATAATATACAATATCTTTATTTTATCATTACTATAATAATATTCCTTTGCATACATAATTTTTGTATATTTATTTTAAATTTCTTTTCAACTGTTTTATTATATAAATATATATAGAATTTATTAATTATTATTTAGCATTTTTTAATTTCCATTTTATGTATAATATATATATATATACGTATTATATACATATTCAATATAAAAAATATATTCTTTAACAAGTACATAATATGTATCATAAAAGATCATAAAGATCATAAAATAAGAAAAATAAGAATCGATATTGCTGTATTTTTAATATTAATATGAGAATTAGGTTTTTATTTTTAATAATAAACTTAATTTTAAACATTTGTTGTTGGTTCTTCTTTCTTTTTCAAAATTGGCGCACATTTAATAAAACAATGCCTATTCTTTTTTTTTATAATAGCCTATTATTATAATTACAGATATATATATATATATTTTAAAAAAAGGATTACATATTAAAAGGAAAAAAAATTTCTAAAGAACACTAAATCCAATATTATTATTACATAAAAATTCTACTACTTTTTTATGCTGCGAATTATTGCCTTTAAGATTCTAGTTTCTCTCTTTTCTTTTTCATGTTCTGTTTGATTATCCATCGCCCTATCACCAACATCTGAAATATCGGATTTTACTTTTTGAATTGATCTTAACAAATATACAAAATCACTTTGAGTGGATAATTGTATATTTGAACCATTAGCCGTCAATGTATTATTAAGCTTCGAAGATTCTTCAAATTTTCTGGCAATAACTTCTGCACTTTCCACAATCTGACTTGGAATTCCTGCCATACTAGCAACATTCATTCCGTATGATTTTGGACATACACCAGGAACAAGCTTATAAAGAAAAGTGACTTCCCTAAGTTTTTGATCCATATGACAGCTCATATGCTTAAGAGCAATATTTGGATTATTGGAAAATTCTTTGGTTAGCATTCCATAATGAGTAGAAAATAATCCCAAGCAACCAATATATGTGGCCAAATAATGTAAAACAGAATAGGCAATGGCATATCCATCAAATGTAGAAGTACCACGACCCAATTCGTCCAATATAACCATAGATCTTGGGGTGGCTTCATGCAGAATTCTTGAAGTTTCACTTAACTCTACCATAAATGTACTTTGCCCTGCTAAAATATTATCATTGGCCCCAATACGCGTATAAATCCTATCGAAAGGCGTCAATAAGCATCTTCTTGCAGGAACATAACATCCAAGTTGTGCCATAATGATAGCTATACAATTCTAAAAAAATATAATATAATCATAGTAGTAGTAATAGAGGGAGGTAGTAGAGGTAGTTGACATAGTTAGTTATAATAAATACCCTTTTAATAATAAAACCAAAAATAATAATAATATACAAACCTGACGTAAAAGAGTTGATTTACCACCCATGTTAGGACCTGTTAATAGAATTATATTTGGTTCTTTACCTCCAAGATAAGTATCATTGGGTATGAAATCATTTGCAACACTTTATTTTTAATATAAAATAAATAAATATAAATATAAAATCCTGTAAAAATTTGATTCTTTTTTTTTAAACCAGATTCTAATTCTAAATAAATGATAATCATCATACCCTGTCATTACACAAGGATGTCTCAATTCTTCAAATTCTAATACACTTGGGCCTTCTTTGATAAATCGAGGACGACATCTAGGTTCTATATAAAATAACAAAACATCATTTGAAAATTTTAAATAGGCATAAAATTAATTTCAGGGTCAAAAAACTAAGAATTATATATTACCGCCTAATGCCAATGAACTTTTAACCAAGCTTAATAAACAATCAGTTTCCGCAACGATTTTAACAGAGAGCAACCAATCTTGATAATTTATGTCAAATTTTTCGTAAAACTTCCCTTGTAAAGATTTAAGGATATTAGATTTATATTCTAAAGTCTCTTGAAAACTTCTAATAAGCTTTTGCAGATCTGCATTCCAATAACGACATACTTTCTAGAAATTTAATAAACATTCAATATCAACAATATATAAAACTGGTCAACATTTAATTAGATAACTATAATTTACCTGAGTACGTGAAAGTCTTTGCCAATCATTTGGTACTTGAATATTATTTGGTACCTCAATTTGATAAATTTCTTTGCCAACATTTTTGTAAACAAGTTTATCACATCTATTTTCATTTTATAAAAAAAAATATTATAAATATATATCTTCAAATTCAACTTAATTTATAGAAATGCCTGTCCAATTTACCCTAATTTCTTTTTCATGGCTGACAAGTGATCAGCCAATTGATTTTCAATCTTTTTCAATACTTCATTGATCCTATCAAATTCTGCGTCAATTCCTTTAGCTGGTATTAATTCACCTATATACAATTTAACAAGAGAATTAAATTCACAAATTTAATTAGAATCATGGACTATATAAATCAAATATATGTGCATAATATACGTGTTATTGTTATTATTGTTACAATTTAATAATACCTTTTTCGCTAGCAGTTTTATAATCAAATGCATCCATAAAATATGAAAGTTCTGAATTTAAATCTGGCAATTTGTTCATTAACTGAATTAATTTAACAGAACTAAAATCATTAACAAGGCTGCGTAATTCGTCCATGGTTTTCTATATAAATTTAATTAAAAAAAAAATTACAATTACATATAATATATCATTTATAATTAGATCTTTGTAATAGATTTTTCATTTTTTTACTTCAGAAATAACACAAACCGCTAATTTCTCAAAAGATTCCAATACAATTACAAATTCTTTCACTCTACATGACTTTGCGTGTATTCGGCTAATCAAACGTTCGAGATCAGGAAATTTAGAAAAGTTTTCATAAAATATATCGCCAAAGCCATGAGTTTTCATCAATTCTTCAACAGTATCAAGGCGTTCATTAATTCTATCAACTGAAAGAAGTGGATGACACAACCATTGTTTGAAAGTACGTTTACCTATTACATTATAAATTAAAATAATAATAATAATATAAATTAATAATATATATACATTATAGTATATTTGAGTCTAATGATTGTTCTTATAATGAATAAAGGAAATTACCAAATGATGTGACACAATGATTCAGCAAATTAAAAACAGTTCCTTTATCACTTCCATCCATATTATTTTCAAAAATTTCAAGATTGGCAAGAGTTTGTCCATCAAGTATAAGTGACGTAGCATGACGAATTGGGTCATAATTGTGAAAATTTTTAACTGATATAAGTTCTTTATCCAGCTTTAACTAAATATTGTTCATTGTAATAAAATTATTATTAATACATTTGATATAATTAAATTTTTAAATTTAATTATTTATGTATGTGCATATTGACATATTTGCTTACCAAACGCAAGTACCAAATAAGACCTATTTAATTTAGTAAAGAATCAATAAATGTGAAAATTTAAGAAATACTTTTTAAATCAACAAAAAAAAATCAACCTTACCACCAAATGCAGATAATAACAAAGGTTTTCCACAAGCTTCTTGAATAACTTTTGGCCAATTTTCTTTAATTTAAATTAAAAAAAAATCTTTTCGAATCAAAATAATTATGTGATTAATATTAATTAGATATAATACATACTCATATCGTAACAATTTTCTACGGTGGAATAATCAATTTCCATATTATTTTCATCATCCTCTTCATTATCACTCAAAGTATTTTGAGGTTTGTTGACAAAGTAACGTGACAATCTTAACTCATCTAAGGTTTTAGAATCATCCCAGAATTCCTTTCCAGGAATCAAGGCATTCATTACTGGAGAATGAATACATGAGTTGATGATACGAAGTGAAGATTTACTGAGCATTTTCTAATATAGTGGGTACAGATGATTGTTTAGTTTTTATGTTTAAAGAACAGTAAATCTTATTAAAGAATTAAAAATTAAAATAAATAATAGATTAAATACTTTTTCATAAACAATTTCCTTTGGCTTAACTTGCATGATCAATGTTTCAAAATGAGTTCGATCAATATCATCTTGGAATGACGTGAAATTAAATTCTGCAATTGAGGTATCAACAAAGCAAATTCCAAAGCTTGGAAGACTATTTTCAGTAGGACAATGTTCCTAAAATAAATATCTTATTAATAATAGTATAATATAAAATAAATGATTCAAACTTATAAGCAATCAAATTATTATCGTTGCTACCTTAATTGACATACAATATGTTGACATATCATTGGTCAATAATCCACCATCTACAACAGTACCGGCAGTAAAAATTGACGTAAGTTGACGACGAATTATTTTATCCTCCTGTAAATTATTATTTTTTTAATATACATATGTATATACACACACTATAACAATAATTTTCAGTTAATTTGCAAAAACTACCTTGGTTTTGGTAGCCTTTTCTCTCATTTCCTTGCCAAGAGCAGTTTCCATTTGATCTACTTTAGCAACTTTATGACTAGATACAAAAAAATTTTCATAATTATAAATAATGTGAGCATTAATTTATCCTCAATAAAAATTTTAAATAACTAACCTTTTAGCAATAAATTTTGCAGCCCAATGTTCAATTGATGCCTCAGGGACACCAACCATACACATATTGACACGTGTAGTTAGTTTCAAGTCAAATTCAGAATGACCTATAAGAGCATCACGTTCATATAATTCTATGGAAAGATTCGATTTAAAATATAAGTATACAAATTAATATAATCAATCAATTACAAATAATCCTCGGC